AACAACTGGGTGCTGCACCATAGGCTCCGCGCTCACTGTCAGCATGTGCACCAACCCACAGACGTGGTCCGCCACCTTCACGATAGCCTTGCACTCTCTCTGGTTGGTCCGGCCAATCTGATAGAGACCTGGGTCGTTCCTGGAGAAAAATTGCCTCTCCTGTAGCAAGCCTGTGACCTGCCTATGATGTTTTTGGTTGAGACCCTCATTTCTTGCTTCGTCCAGGCAACAGCTGAGAACCCAGGCATAGAAAGACGTTCGCCTGGCTCTAACGGGAAGTGCCTGGAGATATTTATGTGCAATTAATGCCGTTATCTACTTTCTCAGGCACCAGTACTCAACCAAACAATGTAAGGACATGCTTGGTTCCGAGCTCCTAAAACTTTAGTTCTTAAAAGTTTTAGGCAGCCTTCTAAAACCTCATAAAAAGTATTTGGTTCTATCTCCTAAAACTGACTAAAAACAATAAATGCAGTGGTAAAAGGACCATGATGCCCTCCCCAGTTACCCCTGGCGCTACTCTCTTTCTCCCTCAGCTCCATACGCCACTCTTTCTCCCTCCAGTCTCCTCCCCACTCCTCAAATGCCGCAGCCACGCCTCACACACGTTTCGCCGCCGCCGCCGCTTCTTCCGGCAACGTCATCGTCGATCCGCCGCCGCCGTCGCCAGATCCACGCCCGCGCTACCCGGATCCGCCTCCTCCTCACTCCCCCTGACCTCTTGCTTCTTCGCTCAAGCCTCCCCCTCACCAGCTCCATGAGGGATGGCGGCCGCCGGCGGCGGCGTTGGTCCCGCTGCGGGGAGGATCACCGGCACTGCAGGACGCGGCGCGGCGCGGCGGACGGGTGCCTCCACCCTCCCTACACCCAAACGGCGGCTGCTACGGGTGCCCGCCACCGGCGCCTCGGCCTCCGGCCCCGCCCACCAGGGCCTCGTCCTCCGGCCCCGCCGGCGAAAGGACGGGGTGGTGGGGCGCACGAATGCGGTGGACGGAGTGGCGGGGCGACCGCCGGAGGTGGACGACATGGTGGTGGGCCGCGCGGAGGCGGTACAGGAGGGGGTGGACGGGCGGCCACCCGAAGAGGTCCTCGCCGGCGGACATTGCCGCGTCGCGGCGATGGAGATTGGAGCGGAGCCGGTGTTGAATGCCGTGCTCACCTTCCTCACCGGCCCGGCGCTCGGCCTCTCCAAGGTGGACATCGTGGCGCTGACGCCGAGGAGGAGCGGGGGCGCCGTGGCCTGCCCGTGCGGCGGCGCGAGGGAGCGGGGGCGGCGGATCCGGCGGGCACCGGCGTGGAGGAGGGAGGGAGAGGGGGCGGCGGCGTTCGGGACGTGGGTACGGGGGCGTGGGGGAGCGTGCGGACGGAAGGGGTACCCCAGGTCTAGGATGGACTTTAGGAGCTGTTAGGAGGGAGCAGAGCTCCTAAAGTTTTTGGCCCCTCCTAAAGTTTTTAGGAGCTTTTAGGAGGGGTGTTTGGTTCTTTAGGCAAATTTTATCCAGATTTTAGCTCCTAAAGTTTTTAGGAGGTGTAACCAGACCAGTTTTCATTGCTTGGGCAGGCAAAATGGAACGCATCCACAGGCAGCTCGCAGGCAGCGTTCATGCCCAGGCAAGAACTCCAGGGATGTACCCCTAGCTTATATAATCGAAAACTTATATATACAGAATAAAAAAATGAAATAATTATGCTACTCTACAATAGCATGATATATAAGCTAATGGACCTAAATTATATAAGCTGAGTTATTATAGGTTAAAGTATTTGTTGAGCACTTAAGTTGGAGTATATAAGCGATGGAGAGAGGTGTGTGTGTGTGTGTGTTTTTTTTTTTTTTAAAGGCCCTTAGTTGGTAGGTATGTTTTGTTGGTGGTGGCTTATCTCTCCTAGATTTAGGGTTAATAGGCTATGCTTTTTATGATGAATGGTGGCTATCACTCTTTACGACACTGACTCATATGGGCAAGATGATGACTTTCAAACATTAATCCACTTTTTAGGTGGATGTATATCAATCTGCTTGGAACTTAGATATTTGCCTTTTAGAGTTTTCTTTGAACTGTTGTTTTCTCTAGTTCTATTTTGATGTTGCACATGGTTGAAACTTGTAGGACTAGATAGAGTTGAGTGCACAAGTCATGTATACGTAGAGGGTAGAAATTTGTTACTTCTTCTGGAAAAGGCACATGACATCATTTTTTAAATTGTTGATTATGTTAATTCGGATTTGGATTCTAACCTCATCGTGTAGACTTTTCCACCCTCTTATTACATTGGAAAAATCTCGTTGTGTAAAACTCAAATTACTCATGTCTCAAAATATAAGATGCGATTAACTTGGTGTGATCTTCAACAGCTTATTTTGATCTACAGTTTCTCTTATAGTATATAATTTACGAATAAAAGTAAGATCATTAGAAAATATTTCTAAATACAAATCTAATGTAACTGTTTTTGTAGTATACATTTTTTATATGATTAGACTAATTGTTAGTTAAAAATAACAAAATCTGAATTCTAAAATACGTTAGCGAAGTACTATGTGAAAGATATGCTGCGGCAGAGAAGAAGTACATAAATAATTTATCAAGGCGGCTCGAGGAATGCAGCTAGCGTATGATTTGATTTGTCAAGGCGATTACTTTTATTCGTGTCTCCGATTTCCCTGCCTGACTCCGGATGATCCGTGTCTCGTGGTCGCAAGAAAACCTGCTGAATAGTAACACTAGTAGTGCGTGTGCTACCCCAGTTTACCGAACAAGTCAGGCAAGCGTCACGCGTGTCGGCCTTTCTCTGGATGACGTGCACCGCTTGTTTGCTTCCATTCCATCTATATATGATGCATGTCAGAGACGATTCAAATTTTAGTCCGGCAGTCGGCAGACAAGGGAGCTGCTGGTTAGGTTCAGCAGCAGGCCAGCAGCACGTCCACGAGATTAGTTTTTGCACACAAGCAAATCAGGTGGAATTGGTAGACATTTTAACGTAAATCTACCAAGAGATTTTCTAAATCTCTCGGTGACTTCCAATTGAACTATTTATGGGTGAAAACTCCCTCCAACAGTCTCTGCATCGGCTAAACTAATTTTTTGGATCCTCCATCCCACGACTTCCGCTTGCAAGAGAAGGCGAGTTCCATCGCTCGCCATCTAGGATCCCTTTCCCTTCCTTGCGCAAAAAACAGATCATTTTCCCTTCCCACGCGTTGCTCTTCCTTTCATGCACGCCCATGGCCCATCTTCCTTTCCCGCGCGTACTATCTACTACGCGCAACACTCTCCCAAGCTCCGCGGACCAGATGTCCTCCCTGGCCCTCTCCAGCCGGTTGCGTGCCTTCTCCGACCAGCTGCAGGCCTTCCCAGGCGTAGTAGATAAGAAAAATACTCCCTCCACCCCATAAAAAATATTGCTATGGGATTTGTGGTGGGCAAAACTTTTTTATAATTGACTAGATTTGTAGACAATATTAGTAAAATTTATATCTCTAAATAAGTTTATTATAAAAATATATTTAACGATCTATCTAATGATATTAATTATATACTATAAATTTTTAACATTTTCTTATATAGTTGGTCAAAGTTAAAAATGTTTGAATTTTTAGAAAGTGAAATAACATTTTTAGAGGATGGAGGCATTCGCTTGTACTCCTTCCATTCTGAAAGGAATGTAACTCTACCACAATATCATGTTAAAGTATCTTAAATTTAACTAATTATATATATTAAATAAGTAGCATTGCCCAAATAGTTATGACATCAAATAAGTACATTAGATTTGTCATGAGATATATTTTTATAATATATTTATTTAGTTTTAAAAATATTATTAATATTTTTATCTATATATTTGGTCAAACTTTGGACACTTTAACCGAGAATGCATCTAGAATTATATTCTTTTCAGGACAGAGATGGTATGTATCTATCTATTTATTTGAATCTCAACTCCTCTGGCCAAACCAAACCATACCATACCATAAGAGCAGGTACGACTGTGGAAAAGGCCAAAGCTGAAATGGTGCGTGGGGAGACTGAATTATTTGCACACGTGCACGTCTGTTTTTCATTCGATATAGCTCCAAAGAATAGTTGAAAGCCTAAATTAAGTTAGGATTCAACAATTTATCGAGTGACTATTGCCACGTTAGCCGTTAGGCCTTGTTAGGTTTGGTGGGTATTAAAGGGGGATTAGAGGGGATTGCATGAGATTAATAAATCCCAAAATTGAAAATCCGTATCATCTCCTTCGGGATGGGATTAACCGGATAAGCCCAAGCCCTTTTTTCATGCCTGAGTAGGCAACCTATTGTATCCGCTAGTTTTGGCTTAAACCAGGTCTAAAATTATTAGCCTCACTAGCCATCCAAACAACAATTTTTTGAGCTGGGCTGAAAAAGTTTCCAGACTTTGCAATTTACAAGGGTTTTAGACTCAATACTAAGCTTACAAACAGAGCAAAACCTCGCAAGTTTGAACCATGAAGTACCAAATTATACCCTCCTCATTTTGAAATATAAAGGATTCTCAGTTATTTGAAATAAAACTATCGTGAGTTTGACCATATTTATAAAGGAGAGTATTAACATCAACAAAGATAAATTACGAAAATGCATTTCATATGTATCTAATGAGATCTATTTGATATTATAAATATTATCTGGTATTCTGGAATTTGAATACCCAACGCTACTGAAAAATGTGTTGTACTTCTGTAATGTGGTACCTCTGAACTCTTTTATACTTGGTGGTACCTTGATGGACCGTAAAAAGGTTCGTATGCCGTTCTGTCTCTATGTGTATATGTTGTGTGATACCCTAGCTCTTGTTGTGGCAAGCGAGACGACGGCGAAAGGCTATCCTATTACACATCCAGGCATCCAGCAAGTTTCAGTCACAAAATTTCCATTCTGACAAAATACATCTTGTCTTGCCGCGTCGTATCAACATGGCATGGCGTACTGCGCATGTACCACAACACTACCGCACTAGGTATATTTATCAGTTGAGCAGGTCGTCCCACTTGCAGTACTGCCCGCCGGCGAGCGCCCGGTAGTAGCGGTCCCTACAGTAGACCGGCCGGCCGTCGGCGGCCTCCGCCGCGGCCGCGGCGAGGTCGTCGTCCTGCATCACCTCCACAGGTAGCCGCAGCAGCTCCTCCTTCCTGCGCATACGTAGGGCATGAAGCGAAGCTGTAACAATTAAGAGAGACCATCCATGCATGGCGACCGCGCACCTCAAGCTTGGCTTGGACGACGCGGCGGAGGGAGGCTGGTTCAGGGCGTGGAGGAAGTCCTCGACGGGCGCGGCGAAGGCGAAGAGCGCCACGGCGCCGACGAGCAGCGCGCCGGTGCCCACCAGCGTCTGCTTCAGCAGGTTGATCACCGGCTTTACCTGCAGAGGTTCGTCGGTGAGAGAGTGTACAGAGGGACTCTATCCAGTTTGTTTTGGGGTGCTCGTGTCCGAAATTAGGTAGAGAGAAATAGACAACCCTGCCAAAAGGTTTTGTATTACCTTGTAAGATCCCAAGAGCCTGTCACGAGCCAACACCTGTAGCGAAATGGAAATGCAGATGTGTAAACTTTGATCTTTTTGTACAACTAGTTCTAGGAGATGTCAGATGTGGCTAGCTTCGACCAGCGAGTTTAATAGTGAGATCTATTCGTTCAAGAACATGTGGCGTACGTCTTAAGTGAGTTTTCTGTGATGAAACATGAAAGAGAAAGGAACATTTTACTAATATGCAAGTGCAATCATACACTTGGGATCAAATGAGGTACTGCTGAAAGCTTCAAATGTATTTTGTTTGTTAACAATCTTGTTGGCCAGTGAATCATGTTCGTTTACCTCTGGTGGCTTTACCCACATTTGGCCGTCGTACCATCCGGTTTCTTCATACGGTACCACTGCTGACAACAGCCTATCACCAACATAGCTCCATCCCTGCACACGGACACGGTAGAAGGTCGGGTACTAACACAAGTTAAGACTAGCACAGTTCAGAACCAATCCATCGGCAAAGGCCTTGTTTAGATTCAAAAGTTTTTTCACTCTCTCTCCATCACATCAAATCTTTGGACACATGCATAGAGTATTAAATGTAGATAAAAAAATAACTAATTACGCAGTTTGATTGTAAATTACGAGACGAATCTTTTGAACCTAGTTAGGCCATGATTGGACAATAATTGTCAAATACAAACGAAAGTGCTACAGTGCCAAATACTGATTCCTAACGGCTATCTAAACAAGGCCAAAGATACCACTAGTTCTTGGTTGTCTCAGTATAATCCTCTAACTGTGAGTATGACTTAATACACCAGATAATAAGTCCTTGTCTTTTTCTCGACGTGCGTGCTTACCAGATAGATCCTGAGAACCACCAATGACACCAGAAGCAGCGTCCCGATCCCAGCTGCTAGCACAAACTTGAGTGGATCCTGCATATAGTTTGGACAGAATTTCAAAGATGGAAGAAATGGTCAAGCTAAATCACAAGGACGAATGCACAATGATTCAGGTTTGGAGTTTCATTTGCACATACTGAACGACAGTCTTACGTTTTATCAGAGAATTAAGATGGAAGATTTTGATCGAACCTTTCCTGGATTGAAGCTTGCGGCTGCAATTGGGGCCGCGAGTACAGTGAAGGTCACCAGGCACAGGCCGCCGAGGCGGAGGAAGAAGGAGCCTGGGCTCAGCTCCGCCCACGAGTAGAGGGTGCTATCCTTGAGAGCAGAGTACTCGTTCACCTATACCAAATGGGAAAATAGAATGGCCACACGATCCACGGCAACAATATGCACCACAAATCAGTCATCTGATAAGCATATGGAAACCGCAGCTAGCTCATAACTAGACAAACAAATTTGTTACCGGTCTTTGCTCGAAGGGGACTTGGATTTCCAGCCCGGGGTCCCAGCTGCTGCGGCTGCCCTCCGGCTCCTCCTTGAGCGCCATCACCACCGTGGCGCTCGTCCCCCTCGGCCGCCTCGCGGCGGCGCTACCCGCCGCCGGCCTCCGGCTGCGACGCCAGCAGCAGGGCGCTGCCGCGTAGCAGGCGCCATGGTTGTCGTGGCCGCCTGGAACTGGAAGCACCACCGAGTGGACGCCGATGATCTTCAGCCGGAGCAGCATGGATAAACACCCCCTCTGGACCCTGGGTGCCTGTCACGTAGTATCTGCTACCTCCCTGTCAGCTCTGTTCTTGGCCCCTATGCTATTGCTATGGATGGAGGAGGAAGAGCGCCATGTATTTTGTGTGTCAAGTAAAAATATGGTTTGCGGTGCGGCGAGCGAGCGAGCCGCCGTGTGCATCTTTTACGTGGTGCGGGTGCTTCGGCGACGGCTCGTGTGGCTGGCGCGGCCTACACGTGGCTGGTGGCCCGTGGCACGTTGCCTGCTCGTTTCGGCGCGCGCCGGCTCATGGTCATGGCCTGCCTTACCCCTTGGCGGCTTGTCTCGGCCTCTCGGAGCATGGATCGCCCCACTCGGTTGTTTGGATTTGGGCTACGATCATGTACCTCGGCCTGCATTACACAGAATCATACCTGGGCTAGAATCCTCTGAAAATAAACATGTGTACTGGGCCAGGATTATTAGGTATCTATTATTTTAGCATTTAATGAACAAATCACCCTAAAAATGCCACGTTAACCATATAAGAATAAGAACATGTCCTCAGAAAATGTAAGAATAAAAGCATAATATCCTCACAAGTTAATAGACTATTATCCACCACTGACACTGCACAAACAATAACCCGAAACATCCCTATATTTATTTATCTATTACAAATATGTGCCATTATTCAAGAAATAAATCCAACTTCCCTATTGCACTTTACATGCATTTGCGAGATTAAAGTTGCAATTCCAAATGGTCTTTCTATGCAAAATATAATAGAAAAGGAAAAATGGAAAGAACGTTTGATTTGATATGAGATGTGCAAAACAGAAGGATGTACAAAAAAGTGAAAGAAGATAGAGTGAAATACAAGACCCTGATAAATCATTTACAAAGTGGAAAAACAAGTATCTGCTCAATAAAAAAACACTATATAAATAACTTTGAAGTGGGAGCGGTCATCAAACAATGTATCTAGGGCTTTCTTAGAACGCATGAATTTCACAAGAATCAAAAATCAATTCTGTTTTACAGAAAAAATGCAGGAATAGAAATTTTCTATTGCATTCCATACCGCCTCCTCCTCAACCCACCCCCCAAGTATAGGACGACTTAGTAGGAGATGAAAAAAAGAAAAAGAAAAAGAAAAGGGGAGAGGGAGGAAGGAGGGGGCATGAACCCGTCCGACTACCAACATCATTGACAATTAGTATAGGGTATATAATCAAGGCCGGCTCTACAATTTAAGGGCCCTTGGGTAAGTGTTGATTTGATGAACTAGTTTTTAATATAAAAATTAAAATATATATTAGTACGAATAATAAAAGTTACTTTGCAGTACACATTTAGTTCATGAAACATAACAATAGTGTAACAAAAAACTAAAGATTACTTTGCAGTACACGTTTAGTTCAAATAAACACATTGGATTAGAAATTTATAACCACACCACTGTACAAGCATAGCGCATACACAAAACAAATAAAAAAATGCAAAATACTAATCGATCATGGGTATTTGTGTGTTCGTTACGGAGATCACGTCTGCTGTCCGTCGTCGTTGTCGGTTGCGTCGTCGCGCGGCCGTGGCGCCACGTGCCACGGCGGTGAGCTGGTGAGTCGGTGCGGCAACAGCGTCGGCCGTCGGCCGTCGGTAACCTAAGATGTTGACGATAGCACTACAACCCAGTGATGAGGAATGTTGACAGAACCTTAAACCTATAGAGCAGCACGCATGCGTGAACATTATAGGAGGATGAAATCCGGTGCACTAGGCCTAAACCTCGTGGCTCAAGGTTGCCTCAAGTAGGCATCAAGAAAGACATATTTCTTGGTTCTTCTGAGTGAGTTGCAGCGATACTGCCATTGTATCTGTTTTAGCAAGAAACACATTTGACACGAGCGATTGGTGGCGTACGTATATACTAAAAGAATTTATCAACTTATTATGAAAAAACTGTAGTATCCAATACAATAGGTATTCTTTCAATGTCACAATGGATAAAAAAGACCACAAATACTTATGTATGCTTGTGCTAATATCTTAAATTTTTTACATAAATTCTTCCTCTGTCTTGATTCAAGCTATTCCGTTACCACTGACATTAGTACGTTTGTACTAATGTGTTGATTCAAGCTATCCTGTCTTAATCTAACTAGTATGCGATCCATGCTCATACTAGTATATGTGTTCATATTGTTTTATCTAACTAGTATGCAAGTAATGCTCAAACTAGTATCTGTGTTCACGCTGTTTAATTTAACTAGTATGCGAGCACCGCTCGCACTAGTATCTGAGGTTGTCATAATTTATGTTGTGGTTTTAATCTGAAAATTGCCAACTTTCTCAGCACTTACGTGGCATAAGCATTGTTTACAGGGTTTTTGTCGCTATCAATGACATATTGACACTACCATCCTACGAGGCGTTTGGTATGGATTCTCGAATGGCTTCAGGAGCCGTTTTATGGCTCTACCGATCAAAGGCAGCCCCAGCAAATTGCTCCGTGCGAGAAGTCCCGGGAAATACGCTGACCGGAGCTGTTTCACGCAAACAAAGCCAAAAAAAAAATGTAGCTTCGCTCGGCTCCCGCGAGCTGCTGTGGGCACGATGGCGGATTTGCCCCCAGGCCGACGGCCGCCGCCGTGTGGTCGCGGGACGCCGTGTGGCAGAACCGCCTAATCTAATGCCTCCCAGGAGTACTTGTTTTCCATTAGACACTAAGTATTCAAGGGGGAACATCAAATTACGCAGTTCCGTCGGGCACACCCCAAGGGAGAACCCGAAAATTCATATTTTTCCATCAGGATTACATATGAGAGAATAAAGCTTACATCATTATTAACCATTTCTTACATCACTTTTAATACAACATCAAATTATACTATGTATTGTTATAACAATGGAATGTAATCATATTATCAGAGTTATGAACAAATTAAGTTAACAGCGGAATGTAAACATATTATTAGAATTACAGCGGAAATAAATATCTATTCATGACATAATCAAATATTGATATATAAACTACGACAACAGATTATAAAACTTCCATTTAATAAAACATTTGGTGGGAGTTAAATTTACTACGAATTTTACAAGTTTATTTACGAAACTAAATTAACAATTGCTTTAGAAAACTAAAAGACCAGCGGCCAACTATTCGGCCCAATGCGGAAATCCATGCACACGTGGCCCAGGTGCGACAGCAGTCCAGCAGCGTGGCCTAGCCCACAGGCGCGCGCACGGCCTATTGGCCAGGCGCGTCCCAGCGGAGCAGTCGGCGGCCCAGCAACCAACCCTCCACGCGAACGGGCGCGGGCGGCCCAATGCGAGCAGGGCGGCCCACGATGGGAAACCCAGTGGCAGCGGCGCCATTTTGCGATGAGACCCCTGAACTTTTCATAAATTCACTAAGCCTTACTCGTAAATGTATAAATCTGGCATCTTTTTCAAAGTAAACCTGGTAAAGCGTTCTATTAGCGATTGAGTCCACCTGCTACCTTGAAACAGAGCATGCAGAGCAGAGGAATCGACTGGTGGCTGACGAAGGTGATGCACAGGGCAACGAGGGTGGCCACGGCGCACCGACGGTTGGGTGCAGCACGGCAGCTGTCGAGGGCAGCCCTTCGGTCGGGCGGACCAGGCGCTAGAGGCGGAGCCCCACGGCGGCATCGGTGGCATGGAGGAGGAGGACGCGACGTGCATCAACGTGGCTCAGGCGCATGGGAGGCAGTGCGCCAGCCGAATGGATAGCTCACCGATGGCTTGGAGACGGTCGAGCGCCTGGTGCAGGGAGGGACCGGCGCCGTGGGTTGTGTGCGTAGGCTTGGCGTGCCCCCAATGAGACCGTGGACGCCTCGGTGGCAACGGTGGCTCCCAGTGCGGACAACGGCGGGAGGGAGGCGCAGCAGCAGACGTTGAAGCAGGTGACGGGCGACGCGAGGAGATGCGTGGCCACGACCCGGCTTGCCTGGCCACGGCGCGGACCGAGGCGAAAGGGGCGCCTGAGAGGGGCGACGCCGTGGGGCAGAGCAGCGGGTCAAGCACGGTAGTGGGGCGCGGGCGCAGCGGGTTTCGGCCACGGAGGCGTCGGTGACGCCCGGCCAGGGCTGCGCCGGTGGAGGAGCATGGCAGGGCGCATTGGAGGGTGTGAACTGTGGCTCCAGAACAAGGAGCAGGGAGGCAGGGCTTCGGCTTTGAGCAAGGTGAAGGGCAGCGAGCAGAGCAGAGTCAAGTACCGTAGCATGAAAAGCAGCAGCTGCAGCTCGGCCTCAGCGGCAGAGGAAAAAGGGAGGGGGAAAGAAGCAAGTCTGGTCAGGCCTGGCAAAGGCAGAGAAGACAAGTAAAGCAGGCAGAGACAAGCAAGGCAGACAACGACATTCAATACAGCAGAGATGATGCGATGAAACGGGCAGTCGAACGGTGGCGCTTAGCGAGACATGAGCACGATAGGGCCAGTGCTCCCATTAAAAATTCGGACACGACTCAAGCGAGGGAGTGAAGGACAGGGATGCTGGCAAAACGCCGCACCGAGGTGCAGAGCCACGACGAGAGACGTGACGGTGAATAATTGCCATGCAACAAGCACGTTGTAAGCCGCGCTAGGAAAAGTAAATGAAGCCTGCAGAGCTGCTGCGCTACCGCTCGTCTGCTATGTGCTATCACACCAATCACTTGAATTTACGAAACAACCAGACCGCAGCGAGGCAAGGACAGCAGCTGAACACATGGGCGTCGCGTGGCTCTGCTGGCTACCTGCCTGCGCGTGCGACGCGGATGTGAACAACGATACGTCGTCGGCACTCCAAAAGATCTAAATCCTATCGACTTCCATCACTAAACATTTCACGCGACCACTCCTACTCCATACCCAACCATAGAACAAAATATTAGGGTGTTAAGTAATTATTTTTGCGCAAAACAAATCGCCACAACAACGCTTTAAAATTTAATTTCTGATTTTTACCGTTGACGCGAAAAGCTGGTTTTTAAATTCTAAATTCGATTTT